TATTTTAAAAGTTGAATGAATGTTCCTGCTCAGGCAATATCAAATGTTCTATTAAAACTTACTGGTTCATTTTAAGATGACTTTACATCTATGCATTTCATTTCACCAATAAAATTGTAATCCCCGTTATTAGGTGATACACCCAAAGAGGAACACATGAGGTCACTAGGGGAGAAGTGGGGAAGAACTTCAGAGGGAGAAAAGGAGGCCTTCCGACAACAGGCCAAAGAAATTAGGAATGACCCATTGAAGGGCAGGACAGCAGAGGAGTTTGCTGAATTTCATATGAACTCCATAACAAATTCGGTTGGTTTATTTTTGCAAAACCTGTCATATTTAATAAAAACAAAATTATCTACATTTCTGTTTTAAGACAGCATCATCATGTATGGGTTTTAACTTTTATATATTCACAGTTTTGTTTTTTAAAGACTTAAATTTAAACTATAATGAAGATAGGTTTATAAAAATGGTGCAATATTTGTAGATATTTCTATGACATACCCACAGGCACTTGTCTCAGAAAAAAATTTCCTATATACCTTAATATAACATTAAGGTATATTATAGGGGAAAAAAATTCTGAGACAAGTGCCTGTGGACATACCAAAGAATATGTAAGAATTAATGATCACAATATTGCCAATGGAACAAAACATACTTTATTTGGAAGGTACACGAAAGCAAATACAGCAGTTTTCTTTTTAACATTTTTTTCTGCAACTTAATCTTTTCGAAATTTTAACTGAAATTAAATAATGCATTAATCTTTTTTATTTTATGATATGCAACTAAATGAAGTCTTTAAGGTAGTTCAGGAGTATAGAAAAAAATGACAGAATTTTCTTATACTTTGCCAAAATGAAGATTTTACTATGCTTTTTTCAAAAAAAATAATAAAAAGTATGGTTCACCGCGCGATTTTTCAAAGTACGAGTCGTTCAAAATTGCCAAAATTTGATTAGATTGTTCATGATAAAACACATTTTTGTGCATAAAAGGAAATCTATGAATCAGAATTTTGAAATAAAATATGAGAAGATAGGTTTTATAATATATTTTAAGAAAATAAAAAGAAAAAATGGTCACCGAACTTGTTTTCTTGCTCCAAGTAAAAAATGAAAATTTCCTTATATGTCCAGTATACATTTTGTACTAAAAGAGTTATCTTCCCTTAAATGGCTTATTTGAAAAATTAATTTTAAAAACACAAATATTTGGTATTTGTTAAAACATGTTCGATAATGCAATGAATAACTAAGTTTTCCTCTTATAAATATACAGTGTAACCAATAAATTGCAAATCTATCTTCAAATTTGCACATTTGGGCAAAGAACTAGACCGATTATTTACTGTGATGGTACAATTCAAGATGGCGGTATACCCCTGAACTACCTTAAAATAATGGAAACTTTGTATTGAAAGCACTTGCCGACCATGCAAGGGCTGTATAGCCAGTCAAGGTCGTTAAAAACTTCCATATATATATTGAATCACAAAAAATTGTCGAAAAAAATTCTGAAAACATTATGTCGTTAATTTAGAAATCTATATAATTTTTCTATGATTATTGTTGAAACATGTACACAAAAAAATCCGTTTGATTGATATAATATAACCATATGATTACTGACTTTGTAATTGGTTAACTTTCAACCATAGAAACGCAGTGACTGATCCTATTTTTATATTACACCATTAAAATTGTATGTATCCACAACATATCATTTTTTTTTTTTAAATTATACTGTACCTTGACCTTAAATGTATTTTAAAGTGCAATGGTAGCTATAAATGTATATTAAATTATATATTTATATTTCAGTGTGTTGTATTGCAATCATTAGGGTATGAGGTTGCCGCTATCGCCGCAAAGGAGAGCGAGTCATCGCAACTGTTTGGGACCCCAAGAGGCTTGGAATTCATCCAAGACGTGAAATTACAAAAGGAATTCCGAGAATCCGTATTCAGTTAGTAATAATGAGTTAAATATTATAAGATTATACTTCATGTTTTTTCAATGGACGACCGGAGAATCAAGATATTAAAATGTGAACAACTCCATAATGTAAGGAATAAGATACTACTAGAAACAGTTGTTGTACTAGACAGTCTTGGAATCAAATTTAATGAACTTTTGGACAATGAAAAGTTGCAAATAATTCTGGACATCACACCGGTTGCAACATCAAGAAAACTCTCTCCAGCCAGTGTAGCAAAAGTAGAACGCCTAACTAGACGCTTGATATACCAGCTACATATAGCCCGTTATAAGATAGTATGCGGTTGATAATAATAAGGATAATGACTTTAAAAGGAAAAGCTAACCACTACCATAACAGAAGAAACAATACTTTAGCCACAAAACTCATATATACTAGTCAATTTACAGAGTGTAACATAATGAACCTATTTTACCATATATACATACTAGTGGTGACACTTTACTAAAGTGTGCGATCTTATATCGAAATTATCTTAAATTATATATAGCCAACAGAATTTTAAGCAATATATGGATTATATAAAGGACTTTTTAGAAGAACCGAATATAACTTTTAGACAATACTTTACTATATATCTTTTAAATCATGAGGAAGAGGCACTCATTCTTTTATCATCTTACCGTGATAGGAAAACAAATGATTTTATGGAATAATGTTATTGATATCTTACAGAAATGAGTTTTACTTTTAAAGCATATCTAGCTACGTATACAAAACGGTTAGGGGAACCGAAAACAAATGTGTAACATGCGTGTATATATATATAAAGAAAGAAAGGAATTTTATATTATATAGTGACTGGCTTTTAACCACCGTATGATAGGCACAGAAACATTTTAATTATAAAACAAAGGATTTTTAATATAAGTGTGTGTGGGTAGGATTTCACTGTAAATATAGAGCACTGCAACATATTGGTGGAGGCATCACTGTACATAGAAATTGCGGATCACAAGTTCTACATACTAGCGTATGGTTCCTCTACAAAGGGGGTTAAAGATACAGAGGTAAGGTAAGGTAAGATATTCATACAACGTACTTGTAATTCAAAAACCTTTTAAAATACAGCCTACAATATAAGTCCTATTCTTGCCTCCATTCAGTCACGTATATGATAAGAATTATTTTAAGCACATACACATATACCCTGTAAATTTCTAGGAACCAAAGAGTATAAATTTACACTTAATTTTCATGGTGTTTGACACATTTTACATGACAACATCATGACGAAAAAGATTAAGCAGAAATATAACACTTTACAGAATAAAAAAGAGTGAGAAATTCGAATGTTGACTTCAAATTAGGAGGTGAATATATGTTCCAGATGAATAAGCAATTCGTGCTTCAATATTGGAACCCGTCAAGTCGCTCGTTGCATATAAAGAAGCTGCAATAACTCACATTTGGTAATGCAACAATAAATGAAAAGATGAAGGGAAGTTTACTCGAAAATGTTTTATATTTGTTTTACTATATTTTTAAGGACACATTGTGTATGTTGGAGATAGTATAACATGCAAAGAGACCAAAAAAGAACTAACTGAAAAAGTTAGAAAAATTTTCAATTCGTGTTGGGGTAAGTCTATTAAAATATGTCGAAAAAAAAACGAAATAAAAGAAACATGCAAACTTAAAAAAAAACATCTTAGGGACAACTTAATTTTCTAAATGATTTTTAAAAAGTCCTTTATTTACCAGTTGATCTTATAGCAAAAATTATCCCTTCTCACTTAAAAAAAATAATGTGTAAAAGCTACACTGTAATTTGGGATGGGCGTTTATGTCTTTTCCCTAAAGTAAGCACAGTGTATGAACAATTTTTTTTTATAATTTTAAGAACACGTAAGGAATACATTCGAAATATTTTATTTTGCGAAAATGTTAATCAACTTGTTCATATCAAACACGCTGTAAATTATGAGTACTTTTTTTTATCACAATTTCTATATAATGTATAGTTTAGAAACTAAAACAGTAGAATATATCAGATTAAGAGTGTTTATTAAATGATAAAAATGCCGTATATCTTTGGATGGTCAACAAACATGTTGATTTATGAGAAACGATTGGATAATTCCTTTTTGGAATTATTGCCCTTAACTGATAAGGGGAACTTCTCTTAGGCGGAACAGACAGCCTATGTTTACGAAAGAATAATAAAAAGACAGACGCAGCAGGCAAACTACAATATGTACTAGATTTACAAAACGCTGCAGACATATCGATCAATTGAATGTTAAAGTAAATGCTGATTACTGGTTATTAAATATATGTTTACATAGATATAAGAAGATGTGGTATGAGTGACAATGAGACAACTCTCCATCCAAGTCAAAATATATAAAAGTAAACCATTATAGGTCACAGTACGGTCTTCAACACGGAGCCTTGGCTCACACCGAACAGTAAGCTATAAAGGGCCCCAAAAATTACTAGTGTAAAACCATTCAAACGGGAAAACCAACGGTCTAATCTATATAAAAAACGAGAAACGAGAAACACTTACGAACCACATCAACAAACGACAACTACTGAACATCAGATTCCTGACTTAGGACAGGTGCAAACAAATGCAGCGGGTTTAAACGTTTTAATGGTACCAAACCTTCACCCTTTTTCTGAAACAATAGTGTAACATCACAACATAGAAAGACACACTATAAAATATCAACTGAAATAGCTTAACTCAATCAAAAGACATATCAACACCATTGAACATACACTGAACAAATAAATTTGACCTATGACACAATGTAAATACAAAATAAGTAAACCAAGGGAAGAATAATAAAAGTAACATGTTTACATATATCAAGTTAAAAAAAATATTGTCTTGTGGCTGTCTATGTAGTATTTTCATCTTTAAAATTCTGATTGTGACATCTTAAAATAAGAATTGGCTTATTGTAGCGATTTTTTGATAAACTGAGGTTAATTAATACTACTCCTTCTTGCAGATTTATGTGGTGACATATCTCTTTTCAGCATCTGTCAGTTTGAAGAATCAGGCAGTACCCTATGGGAATATCATTAAAAACAACTCATATAGAATGGAGGGTCTGCCTGATGGTGTTATTTTCAAAGACCCTAATTCTTATGGTTTGTCTACTCTTAGGCAAATCATAAGCCAGAAAGAATCCATCAAATTTGTGTATGTATTACCCGTAGAACATGTAGAAGTAGTCACACATTTAATATTATGAAGCCACGAATATTTTTTATTTAGAAACTTGAATTGCATTTTAAGTTTTAGATTTTTCTCAATTTACAACGATTGTCTATGCTGATTTTAGTGCTAGAACAAAAGATTTGAAATAACAATATAAATGAGTTGAGTCAAACATTTAGTGCAGACACTTTCAAATGCTCCTTGAAAATACCATAACAAGTGCTAGGAATATGAAGCATCTATCGATAGTCATAGCAAGGGTATCAAGCTTTATCCTGCTTATTTTGTTCCAGTGTCGATCAATTGTGAGTTCTGATAATGCAAATATTTGTAAAGAAACCGTTTATAAGATAAGATAAGATAAGATATTTTTATTCCAATTAAAGGGCCCATGACGAGCAAAAACATGTATTACAATGATTTTGATAATTGACACAATAATGTTGATATAAATCATATATAAATATGAATATAATCATCTCAATTGTAAGATGTTAAACCACAGCCAGATCAGAGCCATACACATATTAGTAAAAATATTAGTCAATTATATTTAATATTAACAGGCAAATATTCTCAATGGGTTACATACAAACATATCTGTACTATTTTGATAGTTTTCTGAGTTCAAAATAATTGTTAATATAAATTGCAATAATTTTAATAATCTCTTGAAGAAACGTGACACCAGCTTCCACACTTGCCTCATCTGCAACATCATCCAAGGGTATGTAAATAGGTAAACGGACAGAAAGTCACAGGACATGTATTCACTTTTAATTGTAGGAAATTGTTCATAAGCCTTGATAAATGAAATTTTTTTAAATTTTAATTATTCAAAGGATTTTTTTTTACATTTTTATATTTACAGAATTAGAAAATGGAAATATTACGGATGTCACGGATGCTCCAGCTATTCCTTTAGGTTGGTATTTTGATCCAAAGTTTGTACAATGTATGAGATTTATTATGTTATCCACTTCAAGTTAAAGCTTTTGATTTGATTAAATTATCAATGATGAATTTGTGTTTTCTCGGTGGTTTTGTATGCATATGAAAATATGAGTTTTATGAATTGTAAAGATATACAAACGAAATAACACAAACACATATCAAAGTCTCTAAATATGCAGTAACAACTTTACGTTATAACATATTAATAAAGTACATACAATATCATAATGATATTTACACAATATTCAATTTTATATACATACACACGAGTCACGATTGTAAATGATAACCTGTACAATGTATTAACTTCACAATATTTCAGAGTCCATGAATGTATAGAATACGCTACATATATTTCATATTCTTATTTTCAAAATGTTTATACGGCTTGAGTTCATAATATGGCGCGGAATGAAGGTCAAAAATACTTATTTACGTATATACATAATTCGATTTACGTATATACAAAAATAATTACGTATATTCGTTAATCGAATTACTTATATACAGAATTAATTCCGTATACACAGAAATCGAATTACGTATAAACAGAAATAATTCCGTATACACAGAAATCGAATTACGTACATACAGAAATAATTCCGTAAAGACAGAAATCGAATTACGTATATACAGAAATATGTTATAACAATGAATTTCATTGGCAGGTTGTATTAATGTCTAGTATACAAAAATATTAACGTATATACACGAAGAATTCCGTATATACAAAAATATTTCTTTACATACGTAATTATTTACGTATATACATAATTGTATATACGGAATTCGATTTACGTATATACGTAATTATTTCTGTATAATCAGAAATAATTATGTATATACGTAAATAAATATTTTTGACCCTGATTCCGCGCCATATACCAATACATATACATATACACTCACACATTACGCTTGTATAGCAGAATTATATTTATTTTATATAGAACTGAGAGAAGTACCCATGGAGGAAGTAGCCGATGCTATAGATATTACTATAGGTTAGTTTTTTTTATCCACCATTTGTACTAAGGATGTGATGAATAAAAAAAAAAAATAAAAAATACACTGTACGATCTTTTTTTCGGTTTTGATTATTTATGTGTTTTATTTACATTTGTTAAAATCTAAACCGATTATGTATGGTATTTTTTAAATTTTAATTATCCAAAGGATTTTTTTTGACATTTTGTTTTCATAACAATTTTTTAATCATTATTGATATTTATTGAATAACTTTTAATAACAAAGTTGTGATATATATTATATTTAAAAAAAAAAAAACAAACAAATATTTATAAAATGAGTGTTTTCTTGTTCAATGAAAAATAATAACAAAACGGTATTGTGACTTTTTGTCCTGTGACTTTTTGTCCTGTGCCTTTTTGTCCTGATACTTTTTGTCTGTGACTATTTGTCCGTGACTTTTTGTCTGTGACTTTTTGTCGTGTAACTTTCTGTTTGACTATCTGTAAATCTTGTATAATATATGTAAATAAGGTTTGTACAAGTAATTCGTATTTTTCGAACATCTTGAAACAAGCAGGCCATCGGATGATTTTTAGATTCAGAAAAACAATATATTAAGTTCTATGTTTTGCCAATTGGTTCATAAATTTTTTTCCTAAACATCTATATCTACCTCAATCAACCGAAATCCATCATAAAGATGAATATATTTCTATTTTTCAAAACGTTTATAATGCATGTGCTGAAATAAAAGATCACTGATTTTAATTTAAGCTTGAGTAATTTTATATTTACAGAATTAGAAAATGGAAATATTACGGATGTCACGGATGCTCCAGCTATTCCTTTAGGTTGGTATTTTGATCCAAAGTTTGTACAATGTATGAGATTTATTATGTTATCCACTTCAAGTTAAAGCTTTTGATTTGATTAAATTATCAATGATGAATTTGTGTTTTCTCGGTGGTTTTGTATGCATATGAAAATATGAGTTTTATGAATTGTAAAGATATACAAACGAAATAACACAAACACATATCAAAGTCTCTAAATATGCAGTAACAACTTTACGTTATAACATATTAATAAAGTACATACAATATCATAATGATATTTACATAATATTCAATTTTATATACATACACACGAGTCACGATTGTAAATGATAACCTGTACAATGTATTAACTTCACAATATTTCAGAGTCCATGAATGTATAGAATACGCTACATATATTTCATATTCTTATTTTCAAAATGTTTATACGGCTTGAGTTCATAATATGGCGCGGAATGAAGGTCAAAAATACTTATTTACGTAAATACATAATTCGATTTACGTATATACAAAAATAATTACGTATATTCGTTAATCGAATTACTTATATACAGAATTAATTCCGTATACACAGAAATCGAATTACGTATAAACAGAAATAATTCCGTATACACAGAAATCGAATTACGTACATACAGAAATAATTCCGTAAAGACAGAAATCGAATTACGTATATACAGAAATATGTTATAACAATGAATTTCATTGGCAGGTTGTATTAATGTCTAGTATACAAAAATATTAACGTATATACACGAAGAATTCCGTATATACAAAAATATTTCTTTACATACGTAATTATTTACGTATATACATAATTGTATATACGGAATTCGATTTACGTATATACGTAATTATTTCTGTATAAACAGAAATAATTATGTATATACGTAAATAAATATTTTTGACTCTGATTCCGCGCCATATACCAATACATATACATATACACTCACACATTACGCTTGTATAGCAGAATTATATTTATTTTATATAGAACTGAGAGAAGTACCCATGGAGGAAGTAGCCGATGCTATAGATATTACTATAGGTTAGTTTTTTTTTATCCACCATTTGTACTAAGGATGTGATGAATAAAAAAAAAAAAAAAAAATACACTGTACGATCTTTTTTTCGGTTTTGATTATTTATGTGTTTTATTTACATTTGTTAAAATCTAAACCGATTATGTATGGTATTTTTTAAATTTTAATTATCCAAAGGATTTTTTTTGACATTTTGTTTTCATAACAATTTTTTAATCATTATTGATATTTATTGAATAACTTTTAATAACAAAGTTGTGATATATATTATATTTAAAAAAAAAAAAAACAAACAAATATTTATAAAATGAGTGTTTTCTTGTTCAATGAAAAATAATAACAAAACGGTATTGTGACTTTTTGTCCTGTGACTTTTTGTCCTGTGCCTTTTTGTCCTGATACTTTTTGTCTGTGACTATTTGTCCGTGACTTTTTGTCTGTGACTTTTTGTCGTGTAACTTTCTGTTTGACTATCTGTAAATCTTGTATAATATATGTAAATAAGGTTTGTACAAGTAATTCGTATTTTTCGAACATCTTGAAACAAGCAGGCCATCGGATGATTTTTAGATTCAGAAAAACAATATATTAAGTTCTATGTTTTGCCAATTGGTTCATAAATTTTTTTCCTAAACATCTATATCTACCTCAATCAACCGAAATCCATCATAAAGATGAATATATTTCTATTTTTCAAAACGTTTATAATGCATGTGCTGAAATAAAATATCACTGATTTTATTTTAAGCTTGAGTAATTTTATATTTACAGAATTAGAAAATGGAAATATTACGGATGTCACGGATGCTCCAGCTATTCCTTTAGGTTGGTATTTTGATCCAAAGTTTGTACAATGTATGAGATCTATTATGTTATCCACTTCAAGTTAAAGCTTTTGATTAGATTAAATTATCAATGATGAATTTGTGTTTTCTCGGTGGTTTTGTATGCATATGAAAATATGAGTTTTATGAATTGTAAAGATATACAAACGAAATAACACAAACACATATCAAAGTCTCTAAATATGCAGTAACAACTTTACGTTATAACATATTAATAAAGTACATACAATATCATAATGATATTTACATAATATTCAATTTTATATACATACACACGAGTCACGATTGTAAATGATAACCTGTACAATGTATTAACTTCACAATATTTCAGAGTCCATGAATGTATAGAATACGCTACATATATTTCATATTCTTATTTTCAAAATGTTTATACGGCTTGAGTTCATAATATGGCGCGGAATGAAGGTCAAAAATACTTATTTACGTATATACATATTTCGATTTACGTATATACAAAAATAATTACGTATATTCGTTAATCGAATTACGTATCCGTATACACAGAAATCGAATTACGTATAAACAGAAATAATTCCGTATACACAGAAATCGAATTACGTACATACAGAAATAATTCCGTAAAGACAGAAATCGAATAACGTATATACAGAAATATGTTATAACAATGAATTTCATTGGCAGGCTGTATTAATGTCTAGTATACAAAAATATTAACGTATATACACAAAGAATTCCATATATACGTAAATCGAATTCCGTATATACAAAAATATTTCTTCACATACGTAATTATTTACGTATATACATAATTGTATATACGGAATTCGATTTACGTATATACGTAATTATTTCTGTATAAACAGAAATAATTATGTATATACGTAAATAAATATTTTTGACCCTGATTCCGCGCCATATACCAATACATATACATATACACTAACACATTACGCTTGTATAGCAGAATTATATTTATTTTATATAGAACTGAGAGAAGTACCCATGGAGGAAGTAGCCGATGCTATAGATATTACTATAGGTTAGTTTTTTTTATCCACCATTTGTACTAAGGATGTGATGAATGATGTAAAAAAAAAAATACACTGTACGATCTTTTTTTCGGTTTTGATTATTTATGTGTTTTATTTACATTTGTTAAAATCTAAACCGATTATGTATGGTATATTAATTCATTCTGCAAGAAAAGAGGAAATCCTATATTTTTTTTTTTGAAAGATTGCATGATTTAGTACAAAAACTGTATTGAAAACACTATAAAAAAGATAATACTTACATTTAGGTACAAGTGTTTACTCTTTCCATTTCAGGTGTTTCAGACACATTAGCCCATGCTGTTTCCAGTGATGCTGTAGAGGAGCATGGTGTTGAAGTACTTACAGGTTTGATTACAGTTTTTTCTGCATTATTTTAGTTTATATATATATATATATATTAGGAAAATAGAGCTTGTCTGCAATCATCATAAAATTTTGCATTGATTGATCGTTGATTGCTTAATGTCCAATGCCTGCGCAGTGGCGTAGCTGCCGTTAGGCACTTTAGGCAGGTGCCTACACATAAGTTTTTCACAATTTTTTTTTATTAAAAAAAAACAAAACAACGTTATCTGTAGATGCACGCTAGTGAAGTCGTCAAAACTCTTTAATAATCGAATGTCATGTGTACACTAGTCTATCATCCTTAGTGAATGGAGTATTGGATAGAATTGTATGTCATTATATTCCCCCTTATATAGAAACTATAAACTAGAACTTTGGTTCAGATCATTTCACTTCTATCAACAAATACTGGAATGAACCTGAACTTAGACACATGATTTTTTTTAATTAGTTGTTGTTGGCTTTCAACTAGCTTTCCACTTGTTCTTCATCCGATCTACAATAAAACTCTTGCCAAAGTTGGGCGTTCGTTCGTTCTGTGCAGGATGTATAAATACACAGTCACGTCTGGTCAGAATGGGGACGTTAAATCCGATACCTAGTGTAGAGAGAATGCCACGCTCTCTGCACGTTAAGAAACTTGCAACAACTCTTTGAGGGGTTCGTAGGTTTACTGAAAGGCACAATTTCTGTTTCTATCCAATAAACCCTCATTTTCCAATGCATGGCGTTTCCAATTTTCCAGACCTTCGTCCTGGACGATCCCTATTACAGGACCTAGCTACCTGTTGTATTTATTGTAAATTTGTTTTTGTCCTGAACATGCATGAACTATTTGCAACTGGACGTTTAACAATCAATCAATCAATCAATCAACTAGCTTTCAGTAACTTTGAGTACTCTCATATCTACGTGTAATGACCATAATTATTCAAATTCCTAAGCAGGTAGGGATTTTATAGTACAGGATATAAGGAAATATGAATTTCTTGAATTTATTTCGATAGTATGAACAGAACAGAACTTCTGCATGAGGCATCGACTGTGTGTGTATGTGTTTGTGTAGCCAGGGGACGGTGAAGGTTTCTTTTAAATGAAGGATAGTCAATATGTACTATCAATTGACGTATATATACCAATTATCCTCAATCAGAAAGGAATAGCTATGAAAATACTATAAACAGGTTGTGCTGCTTAATAAAGGGCTACTCTTATCCACGCTGGGCAATGCATATTGTAAATATTTATTTTTAATATATTTCCGATTGTACTGCCGGCTAATTCATCAGTCAGATATAATTGTAAAATTATGTATATTATAATTTCTTCGAAATTTTTTTCATAGATATAGGAAGATGTGGTATGAGTGCCAATGAGACAACTCTCCATCCAAGTAACAATTTATAAAAGTAAACCATTATAGGTCAAGGTACGGCCTTCAACACGGAGCATTGGCTCACACCGAACAGCAAGCTATAAAGGGCCCCCAAAAATTACTAGTGTAAAACCATTCAAACGGGACATGTATATTATCATGATAAAATGACTAGTTTTCATGTTTTTTTGTCATAAAATTTGGCAACTGAAATGCTGAAACCCGTTTTCCGTCGGGGGGCTTGGTCCCCCTGAACCCCATACCAGGGCACTTCCCTGGACCTTGAGCGGCCCCCAAACCCCCTGCCGCAATTTGTGCAGATAGATCTTGACCTAATGAACAATTTTATCTGCGTCAGATTTGCTCTAAATGCTTTGGTTTCAGAGTCGGCCATCTTAGTTCGCGGGCGGGGTCATCGGACACATTTTTTAAACTAGATACCCTAATGATGATTGTGGACAAGTTTGGTTAAATTTGTCATAGTAGTTTCAGAGGAGAAGATTTTTGTAAAAGATTACAAATTTACGAAAAATGGTTGAAAATTTACTATAAAGGGCAATAACTCCTTAAGGGGTCAACTGATCATTTTGGTCAAGGTGACTTATTTGTAGATCTTACTTTGCTGAACATTATTGCTGTTTACAGTTTATCTCTATCTATAATAATATTCAAGATAATAACCAAAAACGTCAAAATTTCCTTAAAATTACCAATTCCGGGGCAGCAACCCAACAACGTGTTGTCCGATTCATCTGAAAATTTCAGGGCAGATAGATCTTGACCTGAAAAACAATTTTATCCCCGCAGATTTGCTCTAAAGGCTTTGGTTTCAGAGATATAAGCCAAAATCTACATTTTACCCCTTTGTTCTATTTTTAGCCATGGTGGCCATCTTGGTTGGTTGGCCGGGTCACAGGACACATTTTTTAAACTAGATACCCTAATGATGATTGTGGCCAAGTTTGGTTAAATTTGGCCAAGTAGTTTCAGAGGAGAAGATTTTTGTAAAAGTTAACGACGACGGACGACGACGAAGACGACGACGGACGCCAAGTGATGAGAAAAGCTCACTTGGCCCTTTGGGCCAGGTGAGCTAAAAATATTATATAAAACTGCCAATAAGTATGAATAAGAAGAGACATTGGGGTGAAAGAGACCCCAACCAAATAACAAACATTGACAACAAAAAGAAAATACATCCAGATATCATGCCTCAAATAAATTAAACCAAGCATGGCCAATTTCCACAAAAAATGTAATAATTAAACAAAACAGAAATAATATGATCAATCAACACCTATTTTTAATTTTATACATTTATAACAAAAATCAATACATGAAACCATAAAAACAACCTGGTCTATGATAAATATTTCATAAAGCAATTATCTGCATGTATCTTCATGCTTTATTAAGAAGGCGGGCTGTCATCACACGTACATTTTTATTAATTTCAGAAATTCTTACTGAAAAGATCTGCTTTACTAAATTACAAGTTAATTTTACATGGTTTTTCTTTAAACTAGAGGCTCTAAAGAGCCTGTGTCGCTCACCTTGGTCTATGTGCATATTAAACAAAGGACACAGATGGATTCATGACAAAATTGTGTTTTGGTGATGGTGATGTGTTTGTAGATCTTACTTTACTGAACATTCTTGCTCCTTACTATTATCTCTATCTATAATGAACTTGGCCCGGTAGTTACAGTGGAAAATACTTTGTAAAAATTTACAAAATTTATGAAAATTGTAAAAAATTGACTATAAAGGGCAATAACTCCTTAAGGGGTCAATTGACAATTTTGGTCATGTTGCCTTATTTGTAGATCTAACTTTGCTGTACATTATTGCTGTTAACAGTTTATCTCTATCTATAACAATATTCAAGATAATAACCAAAAGCTGCAAAATTTTCTTAAAATTACCAATTCAGGGGCAGCAACCCAACAACTGGTTGCCTGATTGGTCTGAAAATTTCAGGGCAGATAGATCTTGACCTAATGAACAATTTTATCCTCATCAGATTTGCTCTAAATGCTTTGGTTTCAGAGATATGAGCCAAAAACTGCATTTTACCCTATGTACTATTTTTTAGCCATGTCAGCCATCTTGGTTTGCGGGCGGGGTCATCGGACACATTTTTTAAACTAAATACCCTAATGATGATTGTGGACAAGTTTGGTTAAACTTGTCTTAGTAGTTTCACCGGAGAAGATTTTTGTAAAAAATTACAAAAAATTACGAAAAATGGTTAAAAATTGACTATAAAGGGCAATAACTCCTTAAGGGGTCAACTGACCATTTTGGTCATGTTGACTTATTTGTAGATCTTACTTTGCTGAACATTATTGCTGTTTACAGTTTATCTCTATCTATAATAATGTTCAAGATAATAACCAAAAATGGCAAAATTTCCTTAAAATTACCAATTCAGGGGCAGCAACACAACAACAGGTTGCCTGATTGGTCTGAAAATTTCAGGGCAGATAGATCTTGACCTAATGAACAATTTTATCCTCATCAGATTTGCTCTAAATGTTTTGGTTTCAGAGATATGAGCCAAAAACTGCATTTTACCCTATGTACTATTTTTTAGCCATGTCGGCCATCTTGGTTCGCGGGCGGGGTCATCGGACACATTTTTTAAACTAAATACCCTAATGATGATTGTGGACAAGTTTGGTTAAATTTGTCTTAGTAGTTTCAGAGGAGAAGATTTTTGTAAAAGATTACAAAAATTTACGAAAAATGGTTAAAAATTGACTATAAAGGGCAATAACTCCTTAAGGGGTCAAATGACCATTTTGGTCAAGTTGACTTATTTGTAGATCTTACTTTGCTGAACATTATTGCTGTTTACAGTTTATCTCTATCTATAATAATGTTCAAGATAATAACCAAAAACGGCAAAATTTCCTTAAAATTACCAATTCAGGGGCAGCAACCCAACAACGGGTTGTCCGATTCTTCTGAAAATTTCAGGGCAGATAGATCTTGACCTGATAAACAATTTTACCCCATGTCAGATTTGATCTAAATGCTTTGGTTTCAGAGATATAAGCCAAAATCTACATTTTACCCCTATGTTCTATTTTTAGCCATGGCGGCCATCTTGGTTGGTTGGCCGGGTCATCGGACACATTTTTTAAACTAGATACCCCAATGATGATTGTGGCCAAGTTTGGTCAAATTTGGCCCAGTAGTTTCAGAGGAGAAGATTTTTGTAAAAGTTTACGGACGACGGACGACGGACGCCAAGTGATGAGAAAAGCTCACTTGACCTTTCAGGTCAGGTGAGCTAAAAAAGGGGAAAATCTTACCATCCAATTCTCAAAAACATGTAAATGTGGAAATTGATGCCTAATTTCCAGACAACTTTCACATATAACTGGCCAAGATATACAATCTATGCATCGGTAGAGATCAAGGTTTTCCATTCCACAATCCTGGCATTTAAAATCGACTACTGCTTCTTTTTCTTTTGCTGCAGACACCAGCTTCTTGCATAATTCTGACCAATGGTTTAAACGTTGGAACTTGGCTTTAGCATATTCTTAAAAAAAAGTACTAAAGTATTTGGTACTGTAAGTATAAAAAACAACCTAAAAATATCAAAATTAAATTCTAATTATACAATCTTTTGCATGATATTTATACTTAATAAATAATTACAACACATATTTTACAGTCACCTTCATCAATGATGTTAACACATTTGCACCTTTAAAAAAATACCAATAAAATTATGATGACAGAATATGCAGAATTATCAAACTTTCGGGCTTAAAAAATTCAATTTTATAAGCCCGTTTACAGAACATTCGTTTTATTGTATATTGTTGTTTGTCTGTCCGTCTGTAATCAACATGTCTGAGAATCACTCAAAAAAGGCTTAAACCTTTGAAACTTGAAACTTTTGTGAATGGTTTATATCTGTTAAGATAAGCTTCCTTTATTTTTTAATACATTTCTGGTATGATATTGATGAATTATGGACATTTTTTCATTGAAAAAATGAAGGGCGTATAATGCACTCATGGCACACCTCTTTATTCATCTTATAACCCATAATTCTACTTTAAGGAGATCATAAATGCCACTTTAAAATAATTACACTTCACATACTATTTTTAGGGTCAACTGTGAAAGGTGTTTTATGCTCATTGTTCAGCTGTACATCGCCATTTCTTTCTGGTTCATTGTTCATCACCTGTGCATTTATAGTTTCATCTTTATCATTTTTGGCACCAGCAGTTTTATCAATCGATGATAAAGGTTTGTAAGACTTAGTTATTGTTTTCTTTTTCCCATTTTGATGGACTACAAAAGTGCATGGCACCTTTCTTTTCTTTATATGAGACATCTAAAAAATAAATAATTAAAAATCATCAAACTAAAAGTACAATTAAATTATCAATTTGTATTTATAGAATATATATTATATCTAAAAATATCAGTTTCTTTTTGTATTGTTTGATTGCTGTCTCATTGACATATTCCTCTGTTTTTTAGGCAATTCGTTGTGTTCATAAATGTTACTCAGTCCAAAAGTTGCTAAGTTCAAAATGTGAAAAAAGCAGTGGTGTAATGCTACTAAGAATAAACAACTTATGCTTGATTATCTCCCCTTTCAAAATTTTACCATTTACAATTAAAATATATTTCTGAATTTTCATTGATAAAATAAATTTAATAAGTATTCTTAAAAGATTTGATATATTTCTGAATTTTATTTCATTATACATTATAGAAGGTTGTATTAAATTATCATATCTAAACATTTTGACTAAAATGTTTACTTACAATATAAATTGAATGGACCTTTAATTACATCAGTACTTGGTTATAAATCTTCGTACTGAAAATATATCAAATTCTTAAGGTCACTATCATTGTTTGCCTTTCATACATATGGTCATATCATATGTTTTCGTAGTCATATGTTTTCGAACTATGCATGCTTTTTCAATGGAAATCGTGACGTCATAATGCATTCTTAATATAAACCTATATATATATAAAACCTATGAGACGATGATATATATATATTATGGTGTTAGCGCTGTATAACCACAGATAATCCAACAGAGAATGTCTGTCATAAAGTTGTCACAGGTTTAGACACACTTATATATATATCTATAATACTAAAATAACAAGGTCCATTTTGTTAGCCTTCATGACGTAAACACGACAAATCAAAGAATTTGACTTATACATAACTTATATAGGACAATGGTGTTGATTAAAAATTACATCAGTCCAACCCTTTTGTTTTCCACATTATAGATATTGCCAATGATTAACAAGTGCCATGTGGAATCAGATACCGACACCAATAGTATATGTCACATGTATGTATTTTCTGTATCTTCCTCCAAAAAGAGCACTATCTGGTACCATATCAAAAATATGTTGCTCCTAGTGCAAAATGTAAATCCTATTTAAAAAGTGCTTGATTACCTCCCCTTCCATAATTTTATAATTTAATTACAATTAAAAAACATTTCCCAATTTTATTGGATAAAATAAATAAGCAAATAGTTACTTTAGTGCTTACTTACCAATACATGTAGTATTAAATTAACTGGACCTTTGATCACATGAGTTCACAGTAAACTATCTTCAATCTAAAATATCATTCAGTAAATTATAAAGGTCACATTCAGTTGCTGTTATTTTCATATATGATATATATATATAAAATGACTGAATAATAGCCAACAATAAATCTTACAGAACGATGGATCATATAATTATGATACAGTACACTACAAAATATAATATATAACCAGTCGAAAAGGGTACAACATCACCAACAATATATATATATGTATACATATATGTACATAGTAAATTTGCTGGTTGGTCCTTTTTATAGACTTCTATATATACATATATATATAAGTTTTAACTTTCACTGTAGACCATCTACTAACCTCTACTTGTCTCTTGTATTGTTCAGTTACTGACTCATTGACATATTCCTCATATATTTTTTGTTTGCATTTCTTGGAAAACCACTATATTCTTTAAGCAATTAAAAGTTTGAATTTTCTCTGTAGACTTTATACTGACCTCTTCTTGTCTCTTTTAGTATTGTTCAGTTGCTGTCTCATTGACATATTCCTCATATATTTTTTGTTTGTATTTCTTGATAAACCACAGTGGTCTAAAATATTTTTATGCAATTAATATTGTAATGATATCCTTTTACTTTTTTTCTACCATGTGACAAAAGATACTTAGCCAAAAATGTTTATTTTGTTTTCAAAAGAACTAAAAGAACTGGTGTAATGCTACTTCTAATGGAACAACTCTTGATTATCTCCCCTTTCAGAGTTTTATCAATCAAAATTAAAATTTATTCCTGAATTTTGTTTGATTAAATGAATAAATAAAAGTTCCTATATATTTGACTTCAATGCCGCAACTTACCAATACAAATGTAATAATAACTTAACTGGGCCTTGAAACACATGACATCAGTACACAGTAGTTATTAGCTCTTCAAACTGAAAATATAATTGAATTATTAAGGTCACATTCATTTTCAGATACTAAAACCAATTGTATATTTCAAATGTATGTATTTTTATTTTCTATATCTTTCTCCTTTTATAAGAGCACTCCCTTGTACCATATCAAAAAAATATTGCTCCTAGTGCAAAATGTAAATCCTATTTAAAAAGTGCTTGATTACCTCCCCTTTCATAATTTTATAATTTAATTACAATTAAAAAACATTTCCCAATTTTATTGGATAAAATAAATAAGCAAATAGTTACTTTAGTGCTTACTTACCAATACATGTAGTATTAAATTAACTGGACCTTGGATCACATGAGTTCACAGTAAACCATCTTCAATCTAAAATATCATTCAGTAAATTATAAAGGTCACATTCAGTTGCTGTTATTTTCATATATGTATGTATATAAGTTATAACTTTTTCTGTAGACTATCCACTGACTTCAACTTGTCTCTATTTGTATTTGGTTGGTTGCTGTCTCATTGACATATTCCTCATATTTTTTGTTGTTATTCTTGGTCAACCACTATTTCATTATGCAATTTATAGTGCAATGATGTCATGTTACGTTTTGCCTAAACCAACGTTGCTATTAGGGCAAAATGTTCATATACATTGCAAAGGAAATTAAAGAACCTTAGTGAGCGCGCTCACATACCCCACGTCCCCACATTCTCATTGGAGAAATAAAATAAGTGTAAGAAAAAAAAATTGAATCATAATTTCCTGTCAATATGCACATCTACATAGTATGTCCTTATTATCTACACAGTTTCATGAAATTCTGTTGTGTGGTTTGAGAGGAGTTGCGATGACAAAAGGTTGCAGTAGTATATTGGGCAAATAAGTTCAAAGGGGCGTAACTCATGGAAAAAAAATTGAATCGTAATTTCCTGTCGATATGCACATCTACGTAGTATGTCCTTATTATCTGAAAAGGTTTCATGAAATTCTGTTGTGTGGTTTGAGAGGAGTTGCGATGACAAAAGGTTGCAGTAGTATATTGGGCAAATAAGTTCAAAGGGGCGTAACTCCTGGAAAAAAAATTGAATCGTAATTTCCTGTCGACATGCACATCTACGTAGTATGTCCTTATTATCTGAAAAGGTTTCATGAAATTCTCTTGTGTGGTTTGAGAGGAGTTGCGATGACAAAAAGTTGCAGTAGTATATTTGGCAAATAAGTTCAAAGGGGCGTAACTCCTGGAAAAAAAATTGAATCGTAATTTCCTGTCGATATGCACATCTACATTGTATGTCCTTATTATCTGAAAAGGTTTCATGAAATTCTGTTGTGTGGTTTGAGAGGAGTTGCGATGACAAAAGGTTGCAGTAGTACATTAAAGTAAATAAGTTCAAAGGGGCGTAACTCCTAGAAAAAAAATTAAATCGTAATTTCCTGTCGATATGCACAACTACATAGTATGTCCTTATTATCTAAAAAGGTTTCGTGAAATTCTGTTGTATGGTTTGAGAGGAGTTGCGATGACAAGAAATAGGACTGAAGGACTGACGGACGGACAGACGGACAGATGGACGGCCAGACAGACGGACGGACAGACGGACGGACGGGTCAAAAACATTATACCCTCCGCAACTCGTTGCATGGGGTGTAATAAAAGCACTGATATGATGCTACTTGTAATGAAACAAGTACCTTTTAAATATCTCCCCTTTCAAAATTATATCATTTACAAATGAAATACACTATGAACAAACTAGTAGACATTCCTATACAATTTGACTACAATGTTTACTTACCAATAGGTATGACTTGCCCTAGCCTTCAACTACATCAGCGCATAGTATTATTATATCTTCAAACTAAAAAAAAAACAAACTGTAAATTAGTAGGTCACTTTTATTTTGCTACAAATTACTTTCATATATATCTAAAAGTTTGAATTTCTCTGTAGACCATGTACTGACCTCTACTTGTCTCTTTTTGTATTGTTCAGTTGCTGTCTCATTGACATATTCCTCATATATTTTTTGTTTGTATTTCTTGGTAAACCACTTTATTCTTTATACAATTAATATTGTGATGATATCATTTTACTTTTTGTCTACTAATAGAACTGGTGTAATTCTACTTCTAATGGAACAACTCTTGATTTATCTCCCCTTTCAGAGTTTTATCAATTAAAATTAAAATTCATTTCTGTATGTTCTTTAATAAAAAAAAAAGAAAACAATTTTATACAATTAGACTATAATGCCATCTAACCAATAGTAATAAATAAACTAGACAGAGTTACATGACATCAATACATAGTAAAGCTCTTCAAACTGAAAATAAATAAAGGTCATCTTTTTGCTGTAGATTTATATATATGTATATATAAGTAGAAAATGTTTATGAAAACTTTATGTTGACCTCTACTTGTCTCTTTTTGTATTGTTTGGTTACTGTTTGATTTTCACTTACTGGTCATATTTAAAGTTGTATAACAGAAGGGGTTTTACATGTAAGCCACTCTATTGTATTCCATTTATTTTGCAATCATATATTTATATATTTAGCTCTATTTGTCTCTTCTGTGTGAGTAACTATTAGTGCTAATTATTAATCCTGTTCATAAGAATAAAAAAAGCACTGATGAAATGCTACTTTAAATGAAAGCTTCTGATTATCTCCCCTTTAACAAATTTTATCATTTACAATTCAGTATATTTCTAAAAAAAATAATTTTTAAATAAAAAGTTTACTAAAATGTTCACTATAATAATTATAATTATAGATTTATTGACCCATAGAACCAGAAAAACCTAAATTTATATATGTAAGGGTTTTCAGACAAATTTCCTATTAAATATTCCTATTGGATTTATAATAGTATGTAGGCTTGTTAATTTATAAGCCATTTATTTTGTGTCATATAGCTTTGATGTTTAATGTAAAACTTTTTAATTAGAAACTAAATTGTACAAGTCTTTAAATATATTTTTGTTTTTCGAAATTGTGAAATTTTTTTATTCACCCCCTCTCTTACTTTAGGTATGGCATATACCTATTTTACCTAAAATACTATCAACCTATCCATAACTTTAAACAATTAAGGCCACAAGTTCTATCTTATATTAATTTCCATGATCTTAAATCATTTTTAAGGATTTAAACTTTGCTAAATTTTTGTCATCATCTCTAATTGACTAGGTTAGGAATGAAAGTTTATTCTTATAGTTTGGTTCCAGTTTCGTCGTAAAAATAAAGTGAGATAAGTAGTTAGGATTCTTTTTCCTTTTTATGTTTTTATTGTCAAAATCCAGAAAAGTCATGTTTTCACCGAGATGGTTTCAGTATTGTACACGCCCCTACCCTACCGGAAGTGTACCATTACTATGTTTGTTTGGCAAAATAAACAGAATATTACGTTTTAAGTAAATTTTGTTGCATTCTGATTCGATTTTTTTTATCATTTTAAGCCCAAACGGCTTTTAATTGAATTTCAGATACCATTAGTCTGTAAATTTAATTATTAAAGTTCACATTCCTCAAAATGAGATCGTTCAAAGTTATTTTTTTGAAATCAAAGAAAAACTCGAGGATCCGGGTGGTGGTGGTGGTGGTGGTGGTGGTGGGGGGGGGGGGGGGGGGGGGGACTGGGATGGGTCATGATATTCCTTGCTTTTGAGGGTCACCCATGCTATTTTCAAGCTGTAAATAAATCGTAAAATAAAATATATTTGGAGCAATCGCTGGGACTATTAACGTGTCAGTATAATAGTATCAGGAGGAATAGAAGACACTGAGAACTTTAAAATAAATATTCAGGCTCTATAATGTGCTTCCAGGAAGAAATAAAAGAAAATAAAACGGAATCACGAAAATTGTTTCTTGCTTCAAGCATGACAAGTAAAAAAATATCGTTACCATTCCTTCACAACATTTTTACTATCTCCTTAGTATGTCCTGAGACTACTATAACGTAGTCTCAGGTATGTCGAACAGTCGAAAATTCAATCTAAATGTTTGGTAATTGTAAACAAAAGTCCTGATAACACAGTAAATCAACTAGTTTTCTTTCAAAAAAAAAAACCAAACAGCATTGCTCATAAATTTCAATTTTGTCTCATAATTTGCAGCGTAAAATTAATCAAAAACTAGACTAATATTGTGCGTATTGCTCTTTTATATATTAACCCAAGGTGTCAGTACATGTAGTTAATCTATCTACCTTTTAAAATGTAAAACTACCAAATTTGTTAAAATGGCCGCAGCTTTCTTCTTGTTCAAGTACCACGTTCTTTCTAAAACAGCAAATGAGAGTGTTTCCGAAAAGACTTTTAATCTTTAAATAAGCTAACAGCACACTGTACAGTATATACAGTATGATTTGTTACAATTCAAAAAGAAAGCGAGTGTTTCCGAAAAGACATTTCATCTTCGAATAAGCTAACAGCATACTGCAGCATACTGTACGGTATATACAGTATACGTTGTTACAATTTCAAAAAGGCTAATAACACTAATAACTTTCTTATTGACGAAGCAAATAGTTATAGGATGGGGTGAATACAACAGTATACCTCATTGCACTTCTTACCTTGTTTATCAAGCAATGATTCCGTTTATTCGTGTATATATTAGACAACATCAAGGATAGTATTTTAACTGGTTGTTTTCTTTTTAGGGGAATTTATTATAACACTGACTTTGAAAATACACTGTGTCCTAAAACATAATATAATTGTCTATTTATGCGTAAAAATGAAAACATCAAATTAAGAGTTTTTTATTACTAAAATTCTTATTTGAGAATCGTTTTGTAGTATATGTATTCCGTTAATAAAAATCTATGATTGCATATACTAAGTATCTTTGATATACAAACAGACGTTTTAAAATATTTTTTTTCTCTGCAAAAACCTTTTTAACTTTTTAAAGGACATACAACCGAATTATCAACATGGAGACATAAATAGTACCAATATTCCAAGTAAAGTTCATGACCTGAAAAGATCACCTAGAATACGATACTGTTTAGAAATTTTGTTGTCCGTATTCATTGACACATTTTACGACAAGAATACGATACTGTTACGAAATTTTGTTGTCTGTATTCGTTGACACATTTCACGACAAGAATACGATACTGTTACGAAATTTTGTTGTCCGTATTCATTGACACAATTTAATTGACACAATTTACGACAGTCATTGTTTTGCTGTGACATCACAAAGTACAACCTCGTGTATTCCTATAAAACTCATCAGAAAATTCATAAGGAGCAAAGCTCGAATTCAATCTTAATTGACTAGGATTGTCAGTTTTCCTACCGAAGGTCTGTGGTTCTCTCCGGGCACTCCGGCTTCCTCCGCCAATAAAAACTGACCGCCACGAAATAACACAATAGTGCTGAAAGTGGCGTTAAACACAAATCAATCAATCAAACAATCATAAGGAGCAAGACAAAAGAAACTGCTAAAAAATCATGGATCATACAAGATGATCATAATTACATTATTTCTTGGTCATTTTGAAAGAGCCTTTAATGAATTGTCAGTAAAATATCATTTTTATTTAACCACGACATATTACATGGCAATATACTTGTATGATGTATGACCAATTCTAACTCGTTTAGTCAATGGATAAGAGTTGGCATTTGATATGCATTGCGTCGGCCAGAATCTTCAGCAGGGTACTGGACAACATGAACTGATCTGATAAATATGATCATTCAATGGTATTTTTAAACCTTATGCATGTAAAGAAAAAAAATACTCAGGTAATGTTCGGATTTCATTAGCTTTAGAAACTAATATCGATAAAAATGTTGGGTTTTTTTTCATTTCAATTTGATTTTTCACATTTTAAATTGCTAAAGGATGAGTATTTTCTCCCGTTACTTTAAAACCTTCATTCATAATATTTCATATTTTTGTTATAAGCATAAATAAAAGGAGGTATGAGCAGTGGTGTAAGAATGGATTGAAAATTGTGGGAGGGGGTAAACATCTGCAATATTTTTTTTCTTTCTCAACAGTGGATGGAAAAGGGGGGACAGAAAAAAAAATGCATAACAGACTTCTAGAATTGCTCAGAGGACTGGTCCTATTTTCACTTAATTTTCCTTTTTTTCCACGTTATATTAGTATTTTGAAATTTTACTAAAGAAAAGAAAGAATTAAAATAAATACATTTAGACTTAATTAAATATATATTTTCAATTAAAAAAAAAAAAACGCTTCGGTGGTCTCGTGGTAGCATATTCACCTCGAATACGGAAGGTCCTGGGTTCGAACCCCTACCGGATTAAAGCAAAGACTTTTAAATTGGTATTTTCTGCTTCTCTGCTAAGCACGCGGCATTAAGGATTAAAAGCAAAGACTGGTCGGCTCGGAGTCAGAATAATGTGTCCGGGTACGGTGACATGTCTTCCTGCGGACTATTACCTTGTGAACTAGCACGTTAAAATCCGGCTAAGTTGTGTCGGTCTAGTACAAAGCAGGGTAAATATTCATATCACTGGACATTAAGCAGCCATCCATCATTATCATCAATTAAAAACAAAACAAGAAACAAATATGTTGCATGTTTATAGGAGCTCAATTTCACAAAGTGGCGATCTTTTAGATTAGCTGTATGTTTCAAAGGTTTCATGTCGATCCGGCCCCACGTCGATCCGGCCCAAGTCGATCCGTCCCACGTCGATCCGGCCCAACGTCTATCCGGCCCATATTTAAAGTCGATCCGGCCCAATAAAAAAATATATTTATAAGGAATAAAAATAAAGATATATATTAATTGTAATTCATAAATGTTTATGAATTTTATTATAATGTAAAAGGTGTACGGTAAAAAAAAATTGGCCTTTGACAAATATTTTCTTTAGATGAGTTTAAAACAACTATGTTGATTATGTTTTCATTACAAGTTTTCAAGATTATTGAGTATAATTATAATAAAAACGTATATAAAAGAATTTAGTACAATCAACAGACATCAACATTAATCAGCAGTAATTAGCATTTTCTTTCAATTGACTGTGATCTTAACAAGTCTTTCATCCTGTGTAATAACAAATAGTTACATACACAACGGTACAAGCCGATCCCCAAGCTGATACATACAAACCCCACTTCTACAAGATGGTTCCAGCGCTCATCAAGGAAGCCAAAACTGTTTCGAGGCAGGTGCGTCTGGTAGATGAACAGAGTCTTGCCCGTTGGCAATGCACCAAGTATCAACGGTCACAGGGACGCCTCTCTTCACTATGGGAGCAACTTCAAGACGGTACCATCACCACCTTATTCTTCCTTCTTGCCGTCGGACACATGTACGACATTCCTGTGCCAGACCCAGAACCAGAAGAAGACACTGACAGCGAGTGATTTAATTGACATTGAGTGAACTGTATGACTTGTATTATGTTAGTGCGGCTACAATCTATATGTTTATATAACATTTATTTATTAAATGCTTCATGAGTATTCTTTATGTTTAGAATAATATATATAGTGCGTTTGTTCTTGGTGAGCTAATCAAATTGAACAATTATAGTGCTGTTAGTTCTATATATTATATATGTACTGCGTATGATAGTTACTGTATATGTTATTGTAGTGCTGCAAGTGTGACCCCTTTTATATTATGTAAGTGACAGTGTAACTGTTAGTGTAAATGATTTAAGCGTTATATATATTTATGTGAGTGTCAGAGATAGTGTGTTTGTTAGTGTGTATGAATTTATTGTTATATTATAGTAGTGATGATATTATATTTTAGAGAGTGAAAATGTGCATTCAGTGTAATTATTTTGTTATTATCTTGCAATAAAGAATAATGGATACTCATATAACTTGGTTTTTTTTTATCTACACACAACTATCAAAATATTGTCAACTTTAAAAAAATATATTGACTATATTCGATATTACAAAAAAAAAGAATGTGTTATAGAAGCCTCTGATGTTACCTGAAAAAAAATATACAATTAATTATTATAACACATAACACCAAACAAAAGATCAAAATATAAAGACCTTGTTGATTACGTAACTTTAATCAATCAGGATTTGATTGAATTAAGTGATTACGAGTGGCATTACCTTAGTTCACAGTCATCAGACAATTGTTGAATAAACAAACCAATTATAGACTAATGATTTGATTAAACAAGTCATTATGATGAGTTAAAATTTATAGGTTCCATTGGACAGTAAATATTTATTTAGCTATTCTGTGTGTGAATTAAATAAAATAAAAATCGCCATGACATTCAAAGTTATCATGGAAAATAACTTGATATTAATATGTTGAAGCTGCTATACAAACAGACACAATCACACTCATTTTCGTATCGATTTAAAATAATTCTTTGACTGGTACTCCAATACTTCACTTACCTGTTGTCATCCATCATCGATACTTTTTACAAATTCCATTTATACTGTTAAAATTTGTCACAAAATCCTCCAAAGTCAATATAGTTTATTCATATTTTATTATGGGGCCGGATGGATCGACGTGGGCCGGATCGACTTAGGACGGATCGACTTTGGGCCGGATCGACTTGGGGCCGGATCGGTTTGGGGACGGAACGACCGGATACCGTTTCAAATACTTTTGCCGTAAACATAACGATGAACTTTTTTTTTACAAATAGTCCTTTGCAAACAATTATATATAAATTTTCATATCTTTTTCACAACTACATTTATGATTAGCTTTATCATTCACCGAAATCAACGTAATACATATTTTCTGTGCTCATTAATGCTCAATGTCATACAAACTATGAGGGGCCTGATGGGTTATTTTCGTTCTTCGTGATCGGCGAATCTTCGCTATCGTGATCCGTTTTTCTACAGATTTATTATTCTTTTTATATTTTCGTGATCCGTGATCATGGAAATTTATTTTCTGTGAATCGTGATTGACAAAAAAATCAACTCGTGAATCGTGATGAGACCCCCCCCCCCCCCCCCCGCCACCCCCCCCCCCCCCCCCATCAGGCCCCTCAACTATGGGCATGTAGAACAAAAGCAGGATAACAAACTGTACCAAAACCAAAAGTTTTTTTCGCTCACCACTTAGACAACCAATAACTAAAATGAGCTTTATTATTTCATTGCTTATAAATTATTTTTCTAAAGTTTGACAATGGAATTGTGTACACAAATCTCAACATTTGACGGTAATAAAGCATGACATTACACGTAGCCTTTGTTCTAGAACGGGAACCTGTCGTGAATTCAAAAGCGACGTAACAGACGTAAACGTCACACTACTACTGACGTCAATCGAAATAAAACCGTTAAATTTGTTAAACTAAATATTGTTTTTGTCACCACAACTAACTTGGGTAT